ACTAAAGGTAAGCACGTTCTCCTAAATCTATTTTTACCAGAGTAAATCTTTAGCGGACAGTGATACTTGTTGGAGTTGAGCCAGATGAATGTGATCAGTGTTTTAGAGTGTTATTAGTGGCTGGGGTGTATGAAGTTTCATCCTGAACTCCTCCGTCTTATCGCCTCCCTAACACTAGTCATTAACAACTTGGTTAACTTGGTTAACTGCCATGCTAAGGTCACGTCCATCATTGCCATGGGGCTGTGTATTATCATAATCATGATAATGGGGAATGTTGCAAAATTGATATAATATATGGTTTGGCGCTATGCCCTCAAATGTAGCGGCGAGGGAGATGGAACTTGCAAATTTAACGTTAGCGTGTCTAAAATGTTTAACATAGTTTGGATGAGCAGGAGCTCGCACTGCACTGCAACAGTTTGAATTACACTAGTCTATACACCTACCCTCTGTGTATATCATAGTTCCTTTTAAACTGGGATTCTGCCCAGTTTTAAATTCCTTCATCCTCTGCAATGAAAGTAAGATTGCAGACGCCGTTTTCCTGTTTTAACAGGTAGATATTGACGTAAAGTAGGGATTTTACCCCCCTTGATGATGTCCACAAGACTCTGAGATGTGCGGTGCAAGTTGTGTCGCCCTATTATCAGTTATTATACCTGTACATGATGTACCGCCACGCATAGTAACCGGCTTGCTGGAGAGCTGGAAATGAGATCTGCGACCTGCCGATGTATTGAGCTAATGCTCTCCTATATTCCTGAGATCAATGCGACTTTTTGGCTCAACATTTTACAGTAACAATTGCTCCAGCAGTTAACGCAATACCATTATCTTTTATTTTATTTGTTTTAAACCAAGCTGGAACTAAGCATTTCTTAGCCTAATAGGCAATTATTCGGCCAGCGAGGCGTCCAGATATCGACTGCAGGTTTTATTTAAAACAATCAATTACCATTGTTGTGACCATCTAATAGAGCCCCTCTCTCGTCGAGTCTTTAGATTTATAATTTCTGGCATAAGCTTGGGTGCAATCTCTATTAAGAGTCGTGCTATTTTAAGATATCTACGAGAACGCAAGTGGCATAATCAATAAAATGGTCTCTATAGTAAGTTTTTACGTAACGCGCGGCTTCGCCATTTTAGTTTTGTCAGCGCATAGCATGCGCGCGTATAAATTAAATTTCATTTTATATCATTTATTTATTTTATTTCTCTTATTTCAACACGGCCCGGACCTGTCCCTCAGAAGAAATGGCGATTGTTAATTATATACGTCTGTAAATTATATACGTCTTTCTGGTTCAATGTTAAATCTGTGCTAATACCCTAACATTTCGCAACTTCAGGATACCGTCAGTAAGCAACTTGAGGAAAGCTACGTCAGAGCCCAATATAAAAGCCAAAGCAAGACACCCTCGCCAGAAACTCCCTGCTTTTAACAGATCAGCTACTTTTTCAACCGCTTACTCGCCCAGAAAGGAACTCCATCCCGCTCTAAGAGCCAGAGCTCCGTCCATGACGGACGAAGCCAACCATAATGTGAGAACCTTGTACATTACACTTCTGCTGACGTTGGTTACCTTCTGTTTTTGTGACAGCTTTATAAATCTAAATACTTTTAGACAGCAATAGACAAGCGTGGGCTGTCGCTTGGGTCTCTTTGATATTAAACAGAAGACAATGTCTAGATCACTTACGAAGCGTATATATTTCAGTCTAAACACGATTGTTCTCCGCCCTTCAAGTTTCCGAAGCTGGAGTCAAACTTCTTCAAGTCCCTGCCAAACATGAAAAACATATCCAGTTCAGATATAGCCGACAAAGCTAAAATGGTATGTTCACTGTTCAGTTACTCTTGAATTCTATAAATAGCAAGTTAAAAATGTTGTAACGTTTGTTCAAATTCTGTGGAATTTTTTTGAGCTTGTACTTTTTCAGCAAATATCCACCGACGACTCTGCCCTGAGGTCACACCCATCGCTGAAAGACGCAACAATGGAATCTATGAGCGGGTCATCTCTTACTACCTTTTACCCCAGCCTTGCTAAACTTATAAATGGCGATATGACAGAAAGAACAAAAGTAAGACTTCTTCATATTGGCACGCACCAACAATTATACCACTTTGATATCTATTGACTGACGTATTCTACTAAAAATACCTCCATTACTTATCGCTATATTTTTTAGCAGGATATATGGAGGGGGCAGGAACTGATGAAAGGACTACGAATGCCCGAACCGAGTATTTTGAGTTCATTCTCTCCGGCAGCTAGGCCTCTCTTTCCTAATGGCTCCCTGTTATCAACCCCACCTGAAAGATTGGACTTGTCATCCAAAAATATCCTCGAATATGCTCAGGTAAATTGACTGTATGTAGTAATGTAGGATTGTAACGATCTGTCAGATGTACTTAAAGTATTTCTTCTCCAGTCATAAGGAGAGCTATTTATAGTACTATTATTTCAGTCTTCTAAAATGTCCATATTTTCAGAGCCAACTGATTCAAATGCAGCAACTATCACAAGAGCAGGAGGAGATTAAGGAGCAGCAGAAAGTACTGATGCAGCAACAAGAGCGTATCCTGAAGGAGCAGGACGCACTTCGTCAGCGAGAAGTTTTCATACGCAAGATATTCTATGATGCCTCAGCAAACATGGCTGTTGCAGATCACATGGTCAGTGCCATGATCAATCAAAGCCATGTTATGAGCAGCCCTCTGGTAAGATCTACTTTTATGTCAATATCCAGTCCTATCCGTATCTTAAATGTTTTATAGTGTCGGGGTTTGTGGACCCGAATATTCAGCATCCAACTGTTAAAGATATGAACTTGTCATAAATTAAAATCATTAGTAACTAACTTTCCAACTTTCAGAGCATGTCTGTACCAGATTTCTATTCCTCCACGAAACACGCCGAGATGCTTTTGAAGAAAGCTCAAGAACAGCAACTTGCTGTTAGCCAGGCTGAGCAGCTGTTACTCTTACAGCGATCCGCCGGAAACTTAAAACTTAATTCCGCATTTGGGCATTACAACCCTGGCACCAGAAATAGCATAAGTAAGTACTTGTATGTACATATTATGATATTATAATATTGCTGAGTTAATATAACGAAACCTGTACAGGAACATTAAATATGACTTCTGACTATTTTGGACCTGACATCTCCTTTAAAAGTTGTGTTATTGACCTCTCTCGTTGAATTTGCCAGGTTTCCAAGGCTTCAAACTGAAACCCCAAGTAACCTGCTAGGCTTTACCCTGAGCCCAACCCCAGGTTCCCAGTCAGCCCCCAATGTACAGTCCCTCGCCGCGGAGATGGTCACGGACCCTCCCCCTCTGTCGGGACGGACTGGTATTATCTACGACAGCATCATGTTGAAGCACATCTGTACCTGCTCCAATCCCGTGGTTCACAAGGAAAGTCCGGGTAGATTGAGCAGCATTTGGGCTCGTCTTACGGAGACGGGTGTAGCTAACAGATGCGCGCGTCTCAAGTCTCGCAAAGCGACAAATGACGAGCTGGAGCTGATCCACAGTCCTGAACATGTCTGTAAATATGGTGGAATGAGAAGCAAGACTTCGCCAGATGGTATGTTTTGACGTATTCTCCGCTGGTTTTATTCTTCAGAAAATATACTTATTTGTTACTTTATTCCTACGAAAATATTTATTCCTAATAATTTATTCTCGTCTAACATACTAGAACCTAAAAGAGTAACATTCCCCACAGTAGACGGTGAAGACTTTGTCAAGCTGAAATGTGGTGGTATCGGAAAGGATGAGCAGACCATCTGGAATGACCTTTGCTCGGCACAAGCCGCTCGAATCGCTGCTGGATCAGTGCTGGAGTTGGCAACCAAGGTTGCAATGGGCGAGCTGAAGAACGCGTTTGCACTGGTGCGCCCACCGGGTCACATGGCAGAGCGAAGTGAGGCTAAAGTTGGTTGTTACTTCAACAATGTGGCTATCGCTGCCAAGTACCTCACCACTCAGAAACTTTCTAACAGAGTCCTCATAGTAGATTGGGTAAGTTATCCTCTTTATTATTGTCGGACACTTAACGTGATGTTCCCCTGGCCTACTTTATCATGTATCACAGCTGCGATGTCCACGTTGAAAGCAGTGCATAATTAACCAATTTTCCAGGATTTGGAGCACGGTAACGGATTGCAGCAAGCATTCTACAACGACCCTAACGTACTGGTGATAAACATTCACCGCTACGATAACGGCACATTTTTCCCCCGAACGGGGCACGCCACCTGCGAAGGAGCAGGCGAGGGGAAAGGGTTCAACATCAACATTCCTTTCTCTGGGTCTGGTCAGGCCGAGTATGGTGATCCTGAGTACCTCGCAGCGTTCAGGTGAATACCTCTCCACACTTGTTGTGAGATCGTCATAATCTGAGCTAGTACTTATTATATTCCTTGTTTTACTCGGTTCCGCTTTTCATGACAAAAAACTTGTTTTTGCAGATGTGTGATAAAGCCGGTAGCGGAACAGTTTTGCCCAGACATTGTGTTGATAGCAGCTGGCTACAATGCTATGAGTGGGCACGATAGCTACAACGTAACCGCAGAGTGTTTCGCCTTCATGACCCAAGAGCTGGGCCGCCTCGCAGAGGGACGGATAATGATTGCTCTGGAGGGGGGATACAACCTGGTGTCCCTTTCTCAGGCGTGTGAGATGTGCATCAGATCTCTTCTAGGAGAACAGGTCAGTTAAAATAATGCATATTACCTTAATTTACGGTTTTTGTCATTTCATTCATATTGCTGCCAAGTTTGGTAACTTTCAGTTTTATTGTAGCATATAGTTGATGCAGAGAAGTCACCTTCTTCTTTTCAGATAACCCACCTGCCAGCAAAAAGTTTGAAGTGTGCTCCAAATACATTTGCCGTGAAGGCTATCGAAGAGTGTATTACCATCCACAGTAAGTTTAAAAGATGAAGCTGCGACAATATCCAACCAAATTAACACTCATTCGAGAAGGGTCTCTTTTCTTGTTTACTGTTCCGCAACATGATATCATTATGACGTATATGAACATGAGTAATGGTTATGAGGCAGTAACACCTAACAGTTTGTCATGTGAAATCATACTATGATGACATATGACATAACGAACGTCAAACTGTTACGTGCCCTGTCCCCAGGGGGGCACCCTTTAATCAACTAACTTCGTCTTCTCCAGGGAAGTACTACCAGTTCGCCCCCTACCTCAATCACATCTCCCTGAGCGTTTACGATGCAGTCAAGCGAGACCAGGAAGAGGTTGACACTATTACCGCACTTGCGTCCCTTAGCATGCAACACCCCAATAAGTAATTACTGCAATCGTTAATCGTCAATAAAACGTGTGATCATGATGTGTGATGTGTGATGTGTGATGTGTTGCAAGTGTGATTTGTGATTTGTGATTTGTGATTTGTGATTTGTGATTTGTGATTTGTGATTTGTGATTTGTGATTTGTGATTTGTGATTTGTGATTTGTGATTTGTGATTTGTGATGTGTATAGTGTGATGAGTGATTTGTGATGTGACTAAAACGTCAGCTAGTCGACAATTATAAGCAGATATAAAGTCAGAAAGCGAGCAGTTTAAAAAAATAGTTAAACAAATGATCTGCAGTGCAATATAAGTGAAGCTGGTGCTATTTTGTCGGTTGGGATATCTTATCACCAGAGAGAGAGAGAGAGAGTGACTCTCAGAGTGAGATATGAGCGGTGAAATACACAAACGTGATTCTACTAATTCAGCTGATTTAACAATTAATTTAGCTGAGCTGACTTCTACCACTAAGCTCTAAAATCTAAATCTATTAACACAAAAAACGATTTTCTTATCTGTATCACGGTTAATTGCGTGTAAAATTAGCCGCTGTACATGTATATCAAATATGTTTTATACAAGCTGCCCCTAATATGACCACTTACTAAGTAATTTTCAGCTTTAATGCCGCCGCCGCCGCCAACGGATCAGCTCTTCTTCAAAATCGATCTGTCTGAGGTTTAATGACGACATCACCAAAATCTTTCAATAATCCGAACTAGCTTACGCTGAAAGTTCTAACATCACTGTTGTCGCTCAAGGAATCAGGTGTGAGGAACCACGGGCGAGGAGTAACGCGTGAGCTGCGTGAGAAGTAACGCGTGAGCTGCGTGAGAAGTAACGCGTGATATTGCTACCCAGACTCTGTAGGCACGCGCCCGTGATATGTAATACGATTTTTTGTTGTTGATGTATTTTGACTTTTATTATGTAACCTGCCTACCATTCGAGCTAGACTCAATAATTTGTAATTTGAAGTGCTGGACGCGCACTAAAGAATCAACACGTGCATATAATATCGCTTTTTATCATGTTTTATTGCTAAATTTTAACCCTTTGTTGAGTTTGGTGGTCACACGTTGAAGTCGAAACAAACACGCATACTTCGCACATTATTTTAATGATAAATAGCTGATTGCAATGCCATTAAATGGTGTTTATTGTTAATGTCGGGTTCATTTAGCCGTTCAAATTTTTAATACATCATGATTTGTAGTGAAAATTATTTTCAAGAAAAAGATTACTATCATCATTATATCAGCTCCAATTTATTGCTTTCGGCTATTAGTTTTATATGATTGGAAATAGAAGATTTGGTTTGCAGAGTTGTTTTTAAAATGTGCTATGCCATCCACAATTACATTAACAAAACTTCCTGAAATTTCTTTTCGACTAAGCTGTGTTACCAAATTTTTACCACTAATTTCTTCCACCACAAAGAAAAATCAATGGAAATGTAGATGAATTGGCCCATTTTCAGTGCGTTGGTTACACAATAAGAATTTTTTATTTGGTTAAAATTTCTCAACCAGGTCTAATTGTTCAGTGAACAAGGCCTAGTTGTAGTTTTTGTCACTAACAACTTCACATTTAACGCTGTCACTTTATTCAATCCTTATGACTATCACCATCAGTTTATTAGTATCACAAACGCTCATAAATTGAATTGCTTCACTATCAATTATCTTTCTTAAATTATTCCATGGATTAACATAATGTTATTTTATTTTCAAGTTAAATTATATGGTTCGTATCTGCTGGCATCTGAGTCGCGCGGGTTGGCAAGGATGTGACTGAATTAATCAATTTTACACTGGTAACTAAAATCTTGTTTCCATTTATCCCTTTGAACAGCAATTCTCCAACCAGTAAGAGCAGCTGTATCAAGGCTTGCCTATAGGAAGTTCATCATAAATTCCGACCAAAGATTAAGACTATATTCACTCGGGTATGCATCTTGAAACCTAATATGCGCATTCCTAAGATCCGTTCTTGTCCCACCCAGTTTGTTGCAAGTTGTGTAAATACTGCTGCTGTGTAGAAGAGGGTGCTTTTATTGTTTAAGGAAGAATAATATTTAAAGTAGACTTTTACACGTTCATGTCAGTCAAATTCATCTTTGTTAAAATTCGCAGATGTATTTTTCCTAAGCTGACTCAACCATATTATTCAAAATTCTGTTATAGGAAATTGATTGAATATTGCAAATATTCTGCATACCTTTTGATCTTTAACATTTAATATCATCGTTTTAATTTGAAGTTGTTGTAAATGACGATTGACGAATATACAAATAATTTAAAATTAAAGTGAAATAACCTCCCCTACATAGCCTTTTCTGACAGTCTGATACTTGGAGCAGGCACGTAGCCAGGGGGGGCTAGGGGGGCGGCAGCCCCCCCGGAAAAAATCGAACCCCAGAAAAAAGATAAGCCCCCTAGTCGCCTGGTAACTGGGCTGTGTTTATGACTGCAGTCAGTCAAAGATTTGAACTGTGGATTAGTAAATATATGTCATTAAATCCAAGCAAACATTCTAGAAGACTTCTATAATTATAGTCAATAGTGTCCCCTAGACCGTAGGAAATGTAAAAATCTTAAGACGATGAGGCCTGAGTAAGTCGTAAATTCTGATTGGAGAATGCAGATTGCTGTTGTGAAGTTACCAAATTTACGTGAGTACTTGATTCTTTTCAATCCCAGTTTATTGCTGTCCTACAAATTTCTTTAATGCCAAATGTCGTCTAAAACACCCTGTTTCGCAAAAAATTTCCGGGGGGCTGCGCCCCCTAGCCCCCGCCAAGGGTCTCCGCCCCTGGACCCCTGCCACAGCTTGCTCGCTGCGCAGCTTGATTGGACGCGTCGGCTCGATTCGCTCGCCGACAGCCCCCCTCAAAGAAAAATCCTGGCTACGTCCCTGACTTGGAGGACTTCGACGCGCCGCGCGAACTAGCATTCTTGCTTCGCATCGATTAATCTCTTAACGATACACCGTGTATATGGTATACGCGTAGGCTTCTTTCAGTTTCTCTCATGTCACTGTCAACGTCCTCTCCTTTTCGGATTCTTCTTCCCCTTTTTGGTTGTAGCGCGATGCACTACTGGGCCGCGCCGCGCATCAAATAATTCTTCTCGCAACCACCGTATGCAGATCGGCGAGATGCGAAAGATTGACATCGTGAATCAACCTTGATGGCGACTTGTGTCACTGATCTCACCGACTTCACTGATTGGTTAAATTTCTGCTGCTGGTAAAAAATTCAGTCGAAAGCGCGAGATTTCGGTCAAGGCCAAGCCGGAAATGGCAAAAAAGACTTTTCTTCTAAAATCTCCTAAAATCTTCCAAAATCTCTTTTTCTATTCGCAGATCCTAAAGTTTTTCGGTTTATCAATACATTTTCATTTTGTATTCAACCTCACTCTCGTTCATGAAAGAGGGTCCTGCTATAACTTTTAATGTAGGGTAGAAACTTGATTCACGATGTCAATCCTTCGCATCTCGCCGATCTGCATACGGTGGTTGCGAGAAGCATTATTTGATGCGCGCGCGACCCAGTAGTGCATCGCGCTACAAGGTAGAAACATATTCGTACGAATTTTTGGATACGTATCCAAAAATTATTAGTTATTAATTATCCAAAGTTATTATAGCTTACTTTTCTGCAGCAGCATCATGGACTTCTAAATAACGGCATCGACGCGACTGTAGTATTAGTTACTACTAGTGTGTAGTGTGTATACGTGATACTAGTATAGACTCGAGTTTGTCTTCTGATGCATGGTTCTATGATATGGGATGTCCAAATTTCATGTGTGATTACGTTTCAGTTTCAGATTTATTATTAATCAACTATTTACAGCAAACACAAGATAATAGAAATTAAATCATAAAATCGAGTGGCCGAGTAGTCTCGACTCACTCATAACTTCTCCAAAGACGTCTATCATGAGCTTTGTACACTAAATCGTTGAAATTACTTAAACTAAATCTTTTATTTACAATCACAATAATTTGTTTTGTCATAATGTCTTTTAATAATAAATCAAATAAATTTGAACGAGGTCTGCCCCTCCTCCCTTTGTAGTCAAAACATCCTAAACATGCAAATCTGAAAGATAATTAAGAAGACGGGAGTGTCATCACCGCTTCTGAGAACGTGCCCAAGCATCTTCCATCTTGATTTCTTGATCCTTTCAGTAAGGGGTCTGACATTACATCTCTTATATAAATTCTCGTTACTGATAACCGTAGGCCAATAGGTGTTGATTATCTGTCTCAGATGCTTCCTTTGAAGAACGTCGACAGATGCCATTACGGTTTCAGGAGCAGCCCAGCTGCTACAGTTATACAACAACACTGAAGTGACAAGAGCTTCGTACAGCTTCAGCTTTCTACTCTCACTGATCTGAACAGAACTATTCAACCAGACTTTCTTGTAGGTGTAGAAGGCAACATTGGCTTTGTTGCGTCTGTTGACAATGTCTCTTTCTGAGCAGAGCTTTGATCCTAATAGAACTGACTCTCGCCACTCTTCATCTCCTCTAATTTTATTGCCATGGGCATCTAAAGCATCTGTATCTGCCAAATACACTCTTGTAAACAGATTTATATTCAATTAAATAATTATAAATATTAGAATTAAATAAATATAAAATTTGTCGCTGACCTCTTTAATTAGTTAATTCAATTTTTTCGTCAAATTCTGACTAGTGCTAGTTGAGTAGTATTTGTAGCACAGCACAACATTGTTGTGAATTTTACTAAATAACGAAGCTTCTGCCAATAATCTTTTTCAATTTTCCCACGATACTTGCTGCTAAGCTATCTCACAACATTGATTTTACAATTGTAAAATTCATAAGTTACCACAAATTTTAACTCTCCTAGACCATCCAATGCCTTTATTCAAGAATCAAATGAATTTAAAATTCATTGGAACTTCTAAAAATCTTCGGCCTCGAAGCTTCCTCATACGTTAACAAAAGATATTTTAAAACATTGCATCATCATATAGCGTGCCCACCGTTTAAAGTCGTTGTGTGACTATATAACAGCCAGTTTTAATACAATATAAATCATGACTCAAGGGATGCCGTGATCACCGGTGTGTTAAACGGACAGCATCTTATTCTTATGCTAATGCAGCATATCGTGATATATGTTACGCTCTAAATAAATTAAAAACAGCCGGTCAATCAAGGGGGGTTGTGGGGACCATGTGATAAGCACGTGTTCCCGCTACTGCTTGTTATCGGCCCAAGTAACAAAAATAATTTGATAACCGTTAAGAGTGCTTGAGGCAGCTTCGTCAAAAAAGCACGTTAATGATCAAGTGGTGTAATCGGAAGGCTGTGGTTTGCTGAAAATTACTACATGTCGACTGATTGGCCGTGAGTGCACCGCCGGAGTGGATGATTTTATCAGTCAGCGATACTTTCTCTCATAGTAGTAGTCTACTCTTTTGTTATGGGCGCTCCTTGCAAAGGGGACAGAACATGCGAATTTCAGACGAACTTTTAAATATGTTTATAAAGGAGCGGTCACGTGCAGTGCACTGCCCTCTCACAGCCTGCTAAATATTGTATTCCAAGTAATTATGAACCGCTGGCGTGTCAGCTTGGTATAGATTTCGGAATGGAACTAAAGTTTTAGTATTCTGCGGGTTTATCTGACGTGCTGGTCAATTTATAACTTACTTGTCCTGAGAAAAAAAGCCTTTTCTTCTCCATTCACTCACATTAATCGATTGAATTTGTCTTCTAAGAAGACTTTTCTTGATACTGTTATTTTTGAAGCGTCGCGTCATGTCTGATAAAATGCAGGTCCGAAAATCTTCAGGTGCGCAAAGTTCTTTGAATACAAACAACCCATAAATAGTTTAATAATTTGAATTGTTATCGAATCGCTGATGCAGAGATGGCGATCAATTTATTTGATCTTTAAAATAGCGTACTTTTGCTATGCCTATAGTGGTCACTTGTTCGTTAAAAATTAATTTTGTTCCTGACAACATGACTCAACACTCGTCCTATACCACGAATAAAATGATCGATTCCGAATTTTACCATAAACCAGTGACCACTATAGCAAAAGTTCGTAAACTTATCGATTGACAGAAATTATATCAAATTTACAAAGAATCACGTACTAACTGAAAATAATAACATTCCGCAAAACTTCCTCAACACATATTGATATAGCACCGAGAACATTTTAGTTTAGTTCGTTTGCTGCTGTGAGGATATAGTCCTAGGATTACTCATTACACGTCCATTGATTTTATCATATATTAATGGGCTAAACACACTGGAAGATTGTCCAAATTAGAGCTGTTATCACTTTTCTTGATAGTCAGTGCGAACTACTCGCATGGTTTGCTAACTCTGACGTGCTGACCATAATGCTGGTGCGCTATACTCATGATTTAAACTGATGAAATGAACCTTTTGCAGAGAATTTGATGCCGGATTTGGTGAAGAGTTTGGAGCATTTAGGATCGAGCGAATATTGGAGATACTATGATTACGATGCCTCGGACTCAGAGTCCGACACTAGATCCTCCTACTCCATTGCCAGCCTTACCTTTCAGGTAAAACTCAGCTCCATCTTACGATTGTGTTTTAGCTCTGATCCTGGACTCAATCAAATTAGCAACAAAATTTAGTTTCCTGCTGTAAAAGGAACAGACTAGTAAGAGTACTACAATAAACGAGATTTTTCTAAATTTGTAGACAAACAAACAATTTTTAATTTGTATCGTTTTTCAAATTATTGATTCAAAATAATAAATCTTCTAGAGAGATCGGCGAGGAAAAGTATTTCCAGACATCGTGGACAAACACCAAAACGGCAAAAAAGACTCAAACTATAAACTGACTGAAAAAACAATCGCTCTTCCGGACATTTCATCCTGTGTTGTTATGACATCTCGGAGAAGGATGAAGAAGACAAAGAAGAAACCAAGAATAAAGTCCGGAAGATACTTCCCAGAAATTTCTAACGAAGCAGTTCAGAGAGAGAAAGAAGCTCTAGATTTTCCTCGGTCTATGTCATCAGCGGAAGAATATTCACCCAGAATTCAGCGAAAGAAGAAAACATCCACTTTTTCGTCAAAGCACAGGCAGAAGAGCTGCAAGGATGATCAGATAAAGCTGCCCAACATATGATTGATAAGCTCAAATAGGATCTAGGAGGATTGATATGTGAATTTCGAAATGAAATTCTGGAATCTATTGAAGTTTGTCATTATCTTATCAAAGGAATGGAAAGAATGGAAGACCGAGACGAAAAGGATTATCTTTGGCTGCAGCTCAACAACAAAAGCAAAATCATTGAACATTATGGTTACATAAATTGTGCCACTGATGTAATCAAACATGGGAAATTTGTGTTTTGATTCTATTCTTTCGAAATCAAGTGAAGGGACCCTCAATGACTTTACCTGATAAGAAACTTTGAAGTCATTATTGTAAGTTAACAATAAAATACAGAAAAGTTTGAATACTGATGTTCATTTACAAATATTTTGTCAAAGAAAATTAAGAATTATTTTTATCGAATTATTATGAGCCAATTTTAGCATATTTGTAATAATTTTGCAATTTTTTAATCATAATTTAGATAAAGACTTTTACTGCTAAACCGATAAATGCAAATGGACAACAATAAAAATAATAAATTTCGATTATAAATGTAATGAGTATTTAGTAATAACAATTCATTCTAGCATCATAACAGTTCATTATAGGTCTTAAAAGAGATCATCAAATCAAACATAAACTGGACGAACTCCATGATCATCGAATGATCTTTGTAGACCCATAACCAGTTCTTTCTGTTCCTCATCCATTGGTTCATTTTTTTTCGTAAATTGTTTCATGATCTCATCCCCATTTGGAATTGGTAAAGTAAAGTCTTTTTTGACCTGAAGTTCACTGACAAAGAAATCCAACAAAATATCTCTCATATGAAGCATAGTGCATGATTTTTCCTGCTTCCCAAATTCCGTAAGAATCCAAGCTTTGTTAAAACTTTGGTTTTTTAGGTCATCTTCGGGCTTGATGAAGCAACTACTCTCGAATTCCGTCCTCAACCGACGAAATTCGGCTGTCTTTTCTTGAAGTAATTTTTCTCCGAATGCAAGGACTTTCATTTTGAACATTTGGTGGAAAAAGTTGTATAATTGAACGTCTACAATATTGTACTTCAAAATTAAATCAGCTGTTTTTTGGCTAAGCTCGGAGTCTTTCCTACTCCGATCGGCTGTTGAGAACCGCTTCATGAAAAATATATCCTCGACCTCCCAGCCCATCTGTTCTTTGAGCAGAACCAAACTCTCGTCAAAGTAGTCTGTGAGGAGCACGAAATCAAATTCTTGTGCAAGATCCGCGATGAAGTCGTCTATCTTTTCTTGTAAAGTTCCGTCTCTAAGGAGATTATTGAGTTAAAATAAGACGAATAGCATTGAGTAAACAATCACATCTTGTCATAGTTGTAATAATATTAAACAATGCCTGAAAATTTAACCGCGCGATTTATCCTGACGAATAATTTTGAACGCAAACTCTGCCAAAAAGATATAGTGAAAAGGTGATTGTTTTTCAAAATATTGTCTTAATAATTGTAGCCAAGAATCTATATACCTTTGTAAATATTTATTAAATCCAAGATCTTTAGATATCCCATTTACAATATTTCCCAGAGAACAGGAAGTATTATTTGGTTCTAGCCCAGCTTTATTATCATCCAACCACTTTGATATAGTTTCATCCAAGGATAGAAATTCTCCATCAGTACCTTGCCTCTGAAAATAGTTCTCTATAAAGCTTACACCAAAATTTGTAAATCCTTATCCCAATTTAATCAAAAGATCATGTCCATTAAGCATGCATTCATAATATGATAAGGTGAACATCGAGGGCAGGACTAAAGGCATGTTTCATTTTCAATCGGCATACTTTCAACTTTTCGAGACAAACGAATAACAATGTTAAAGTTGACATTTGAAAGTTACTTACGTATTTCTTATCTGCACCAAAGTAAGCAAAAGCAGAGTTAAAATGTTTGATAGGAGATCGAATAATTGTTGTGTAGAAAGTGCGAAACTTGGGAAGAATCTCATGCTGCCTTTCAGGCTTAAACCTAACATGAGCGATTTGAAAGTTGTAGTCTCCACCAGGTCGCGGAGGAAGCAGAGGTCTGAAATAGAACAAAATTTAGAGAAAAGATAGGTAGAATACCAACAAACTAAGTCATAGAGACATGTCAGGTTAAGAATAAAAGGGCTACCCCATTTCGGATAACCAAGCGATCTTACTACAATTGCTCAGACGCAACCCTTGAATAGCTCACTTAATTCGTATTAGAATTATACAAAAATTTCAGGGATTACAGATACGAGTGTCAAACTTAGATTATTCTCTGAAAGTTTCGTAAAATTTCATTCATTACTATGCGTGACATGCCACTTCCTCTTTTTTAATATTTTTGTCACAAAAAAGGTGTAATCAATCGTGCAGTACGATGGAATCACGTGGTACTTGGTTTATTATTTTCGTAGATTGAATACGATTCACCCTGATCGCTAATTCTTCCAGAACATTCCATAGGAAATAGAATCTTGAATCAACTTCGTTGTTAAACTATCAGCTCCTGCCTCCTGTGCGGACTGCGGACTGCGGGGGCAGTAGACTAGTTTAACTCTTCTCTTTTTACTGTTAACATTGGCCTCACGTAGATAGGTCGTGGGAACGACTTCTGTACAGTTCATGTTCATCATTTCTACGTACGACTACGTGTTCATCGTTTAAGTTTTACTGCTTTAGAGAAATTTGATAAGTTGATTATATTTATACCTTAGATCAAGCGACGTCTTAACACCAGTGAACGACCGGGATTCCCGGCAAGAGCTGCTCACTCCCCTGGCAAATTGCCAGATGTCTTCTCCCTGAGGTCCGGTGGCAGTTATAACACAAAGTTTAAACTGTAAACACTGTTAGTTCCGCCGTTACTAGTCCAAGTAACGAGATAGAACTTGACCACACAGCTGATCAAACACCTGAAGACCACCGGTACCTCAAGTTCCAATATCCCTTCTCAACATCATTTATTGTTCTCGTGATATTTTGTACTTCATATTTATGTTTAGGAGGGGAAAAAGAAAGAAAAATACAAAAAAGTTTAAAACAAAAAAAGCACAAAATGGAAAAACCAAGAAAGATATATGTGACTGAGACAGCAGTAATTTAACTTTAAGATATATCTCCTAATATTTATCCAAAATAATTGCAGCACAGACTGCCGATATTCAAAGATACCCATACCAGTCTTAACAAATATTTATTATTTATTGTGTTACTCATGAATTTATTGAATAGCTTATACTTATAGTTATAAACATTATTAACATATCATCGTATATCATTGTAGTTTGTGTTATTTGTCTCCCAGTTAATTCCCCTTCTTGCTTCTCGCTCGTTCAAAACTTTTATTCTTCTGTTCTAGCTCTTGGTTTCGTGACTAGGTGAATTTTAAATCTAGTGGTTTTCTCTCGGGCGTTGACTGACCAGTAGAAGTCCCCCAATCTTAAGATTGTGTTCAGCAATCTGTGTTTTATTGTATCAGTATAGCAAATAAACAATACAAATCTGATCTCAATTTCCGAGTGTTTGTAATCATGCTTTTGTCAACATTCTTCTTTCTTTTTTAATACCTATATAATTTTTACCTGGGGACCTCAGGCTATCATGTTTATAAACATAGAGATTAGGCGGAATGACAGGCTGAGCGCGGCCCAGTAATATAATTTACATTTCAAACAAAATAATTCAAGCACAAATTTAACCAAAGTTTCAACTAATTAATTCATAATTTCTCATTATACTTGGTAAATATAAATTGTAAAAACCTGTTTATCATTCTGCTCTTATTACCCCTTTAATAAATTATAAAAGTTGTCTGGTAAGAATAAGATGGGTAGATTATGTGTTCTTGTCAAATAATTCGTAGTCAAATGTTTTGAGAAATTCGCTGCAGGCTTTTTCAATGATTGCAATCTTGTCCCCGTCCATTGTGCGCCATTTCTCCGCAACTTTAGAATCTTTAATAACACCAAAGTTAGACACGGATGAATGTCCTGTCATTGAAGTGTCCACAAAGTTCGTAACTCTCTCCGTGACCGGCTTGTTCACAAAGTTATACAAATCTTCCACTTTATCGTAGGGTTTATCAACCATATCTTGGTATCGTATTCTCATGTATCTTTCTTGTAACCATGGGTCTTTGGCTGCAGTGGCGTAACGTTGCCTGTTGGCGCCCCCCTGCCGAAAAGGCGCGCCCCTGTTGGCGCCCCCTCCCCTTTTGGTGCCCCTCCCTAAAATTGAACAAATTAGGTGATTTTAGAGGATACGCCGGTAAAATCTCTAAAAAAGTGTGTATCTAGAGCAAAACGCGCAGTTTTGCTAGTACTTTAGTTAAGTTTTCGAAATTGTCCCACATTCAAACGACGATTTGGCGCCCCCCTAAGACGGCGCCCCCCTGCACAGCGGGGTCAGCAGGGCCCTTCGTTACGCCACTGTTTGGCTGTAGCCCCGTTCTTCACACCGTTAGTACACAATGCAACCGCCGCTTCGTAAATCATCTCCTCACTCATTTCCTGGGAGTCGGCTGTTTTTTGTCTGTTGCCACTGTAGAGCTCGTGAAAAGTAACCATTCTGGATCTTATAGAACAGCTCTGGGATCTCGTATCAAATGTACAACATGGAAGTTAGAGCAGCCGAACTCAGGTAACCGTTTTATTTTGTTCATTTTGGCTATTAAATGTGTGTCAGATTTGTGTAATAGACGTATTAATTGCTGAGGACTGTATTTTACACTCTAATATTATGTTCCTAGTCCTCTTGGAAGCCTTGTCTCTTGTTTATACAACTTATATTTCTCTTGTATCATGTAATACAAGTAAAGTTTGTAGATAATACTGGTTAACGTTTAGGGTGAGTTTTATATTATAGAGTTATAGTATTATGAGTGTAAGATTTGTGGATTTTGTAATATACACTGCGGTTATTTCTCCCGTATTTCTTCCCTTGCGTTGCAAGCCCTGTCTCTTGTAAAAACATAATATATTCTGCTACTAATTTTGTAGATACACTCAGTTTCTACGTCTTTTATCCTCTGGGTACGTAAAAACATAATATATTCTGCTACTAATTTTGTAGATACACTCAGTTTCTACGTCTTTTATCCTCTGGGTACGTAAAAACATAATATATTCTGCTACTAATTTTGTAGATACACTCAGTTTCTACGTCTTTTATCCTCTGGGTACGTAAAAACATAATATATTCTGCTACTAATTTTGTAGATACACTCAGTTTCTACGTCTTTTATCCTCTAGGGTATCGGAGAGGAGGAGAACTCTGTTTCAGGCCAAAGACGCATATCATGAGAATCCTACAGAGGAGAGTAGAGAGGTAGTTAAGGAGTGTAAGGATGCACTTGCAGTGAGCTACAAAGAGGTTGAGGAGGAGACTCTTGTTTCTCGGATCAGGCGGGCTGAGGATGCTGCTGACAGGTGCAAGAATAAGGAAAGTTGGGACCTTATTAATGACATAAATGGCAGGAAAAGCAAGCCATGCAGCCTGGTTGATGGAGGTAGTGCAGAGGGGAGATTGAAGAGCTGGAAGGACCACTTCACTAAGCTCCTGGGTCAACCACCATCTGTACCTGACCAGGAAATAGTTATCCAAACCATCCACCCCCAGCAGGATATAGAGACTGGTCTGTTTTGCAGGGAGGAGTTAGCGGAGGCGAGGAAGCAGATCAAGGAGGGTAAGGCCTATGGTGATGATGGCATAGCTCCAGAGATTCTCAAAAGAGTGGACATGGACGACCTGATTCTAGAGTTCTGTAACAGCGCTCTGGTTGATGGAAAAATCCCTGATCAATGGCGGCAACTCAACATCGTGCCTGTGCCAAAGAAAGGAAATCTAACTAAAGTGGATAACTACAGAGGAATCGCTCTTACGTCCATTGTTAGTAAGACCCTGAATCGTATGATCCTTAACAGAATCAAACCAGCGATGGAGAAAATCCTGAGGATCAACCAAAACGGATTTCGGGAGGGACGCAGTACCACCAGCCACATTCTGTGTCTAAGGAGGATCTTGGAGGGGGCCAGAGACAAAAACCTGACCGCCCTTCTCTTGTTCATCGATTTTAAGAAGGCCTTTGATAGCATTCATAGGGGTATATTGATGAAGATACTCCTGGCATATGGGATACCAGAGCCCATTGTTAGGCTGATAGATGCTATGTACAAGGACACCATGGCACGAGTCATCACGGAGGATGGTCTGACTGAAGCTTTCCTTATACTCGCTGGAGTTATGCAGGGAGATACACTGGCGCCATACCTCTTCGTGATTGTCATTGACTGTGTGATGACAACAGCACTTAGAGGCAAAGATCTGGGCTTCACTGTCAACCCTAGAAGAAGCAGGAGATACCCAGCAGTTAAGATGACAGATGTCGACTTTGCTGACGATCTTGCACTGACAACAGACACCGCAGAGCAAGCGCAAGATCTTCTCCTCAGTGTGGAGCTGGCTGCTAACTCTGTTGGACTTCACCTCAACAAGAGTAAGACGAAGTACATCAGAGTCAATCTCTCTGAGTCTGACTCTACCGTCATTAAAGCAGCAAGTGGGCAGGAGACAGAGCAAGTAGATGACTTTGTCTACCTTGGAAGCAGAATAATGAGTGCGGAGAAGGACTTTGATGTTAGGAAAGCAAATGCATGGGGGGCCTGTCATCAGTTAAAGACAACCTGGAAGTCTGGAATGCGCAGGGACTTAAAGATCCGTGTCTTTCGAGCAACGGTTGAGCCCGTACTCCTGTACGGCTCTGAAGCTTGGACGATAAGCCAATCCATGACTAAGCGGATCAATGGATGCTACACTAGAATGCTCCGGATGGCCTTGAACATACGTTGGCCACAAATCATCAACAACAGTGATTTATACGGCAACATCCCCAAGCCATCAGCGATGATAGCCTCCAGAAGAATGAGACTGGCTGGACATGTAGCCAGGCATGACGACCTTCTGGCAAACCAACTTCTGTTCTGGGACCCTCAGCATGGAAACAGGAGACCGGGGAGGCCCCACCTTACGTTTCTGGACATGCTAAAGAAGGACACC